ATTCTAATTGCTGTTGGCTTTTTCCTAGTTATGTTCCCCGAAAACTGGCCGGACTACATCACACGCTTGCTAAGGTAAGGCCAAATTTTAACGTGAATGTATGTGAATTTATTTTATTTAAAAAAAAAACAAAATCCGTTCACTTGCGCTTGTGTTACATTGCTAATTTTTTGTCAAAGTTCGAAAAATAATATTTCTTTTTAATATTAATTCATTAAATTTTTCGATTGTGTTTTTTCATATTAAAGCTAAAAGCCAGTTAAAAAAAAAATAATAATAATAATTCACTTAAAATTTATTGCTAAACCCGTTAAATATGTATATTTTCAACTAGTTTAGTAGCAAAATGCTAAATTGTAAATTTAAAAAAATTTTGATTAACCCTTTATTAAAACTTACTAAATATTCCAAATATTTATTTATGTTAAATTTAAAAACTAAATAAAAATTATTCACTTTTTTTTTACAAACAAAAAATACGGAAATGGAAATTAACGCTTTTAATTTTCTCATATTTTTATGCCCAAAATATTTCAGAAAGAGTGGTCGTGCTATACTGCGTTACCAATGTTGTTGTGAATTAGCTGAAATTCATTATCCCCATGCGGTAGGCTAAAATAAATTTTAAGAATTCTTCCCACCATCGAATTAACTTTTTATGACCATGTGACAATGTGACTTTTTCTAGTGAAATATATATATATTTTTTTTTGCTTCGAAATTAGTCTTGCGCGCTTTAAATTTTTATATTAACAAAATTAACTCAAAAGTAGCGGATGAGTCAACTAACAAATAACGATATAAATAAATAAATTACTAATTTTTGAAGATTGTGAACACTTTATAAATCCCCATGCAAGGGTGTTGCACTACAAAAAGAAGCTACATACATATAAATAGGTACATGCGTACTTTCATTAGCGTTCATACTCACTAACGCCGCTTTGTTCAAATATTTTTCGATAAAGTAGCTACTAGTTGACATTTTGTGCCGCCAAAATGTTACTAGTACATTTTTTTGTATTTTTTTTTTTGGTTTTGGCAATTTGCGCAACATAGACTTTTTACTGAGTTCCTGAGAGGAACTGCATTTTGCGTTTCTTTTTACCAACTTTGGTTGCCTACCACCACTACTACTCTCTTCTGTTACTACTCATATATACTAATACTACAACTCTCTCCCCCACTTTTACTACTATCAAATGCTACTCCTTCTACCAGTTATACTCGAACATACCAACAATAATTCTCTGCATATTTACTAATAAATATTAACAATACGAGTGTTCCCTATGCAAAAAACTTGTACAACAATTGTTATCGAATCGTGTTCATTTGGAAAAAAAAAATATTAAAACTTGTAAGGGAGAGCACAATTTTGACCTTACACTTGGAGAGGAAGTTGCAAATTCGTGCTGGGAAAATTTTTGCCACCAAGAATTTGCAAGCAGGATTGTGGCACACGGTTGCATTTTTGGTAACAATGATTTGAATCAACCATTACGTTAAATTTAAAATGAACAATCTTGAATATACTAATAAAAAAAGTATGTAAATATTTGTTTATTCAATTAATTTACTTAATTCTAAACATTTGAAAGGTACTCGACTGAAAAGGTTGTATGCGTAATCGGAAATCCCACAGTGACTTCTACTAAGAAATTGAATCGTATGTTGAGGAAAGTCAGAAAAAGAAGAAATATACGTATAGGTCCTGCTTTGTTTTCCACTTGAAATAATTAAAAAAAAAGTGTATTCTCTGAATTTTGTTACTGGCTAATTTCTACTGGTTTTTGCATAGCGAACAGAACTAATTACTATATGCGTTCATAATTTTGAAGGTGGTCGGTCAAGTCATTGCATACCTCTTGTACTTGTGACACAACTTTTTACCTTTCGTTGACGATATTGAACGAATAACAGTCGCGTGCGGAAACAGCTGTGTAAATGATCATTGTAGCACAAAACGTCTTCGACTACTTTCAAAATTATGGGCACAACTATCTACTGATGTCGACATATGTATGTACACTTGTAACTCCAATACATCAATCAATGTTCCAGTGACCTCAAAAGTGCCCAAAGGTGCCTGCATGTACATAAACAAAATACACAAACGGGCACAACAACTGACTCATATACAATATGTATTGCCTCTTTTGGCGTCCTACCGTGCCGCTCAAATTTTCTTTTCTATTCGCCTTTCAGGCTTGTTGTGCATTTTCGTAAATAATAGTCAGTGTTTATGGATTGACAAACACCTGTTCGATACTAACACGAAACATGTATACATACTCCCAACATCATGCATAAATATTTCCACATTTAATCGATGTTGTGGCTAGTGAAAGTTTGTTTGTTTGCCTAGGCGCTACTAACACCCGAAAAGGAACATTTGTACATAAGTATATAAGCTTTTTGATGAGTGGATTAAATGATGTTGAAATATATACACACATACATACATACTGGCAGTGAAACACGTACCACAACTAGTACTATCTATACATAAAAATTCATGTTAGCATACATATGTACATCTGAATTCATACCCGCATATTAAATAATATTGGATATTATTACTGGTTAAGTTATCGAATAATTGGCTAAATTTATTGATTTATAATTTTTTTGCATATACTTCTAATTTCTGTAAAAGCTTTCTTTACAAAAAACAGAAGTGATAATATGCCAGTGATGTTAAGACAGTTTTGTACAGAAAAACAGACGTTGAGACGTTGAGTGAGGTGGGCAACTATGTCCTAAATAAAAATTAATTTTTATAAATCAAAGGTACGTAGTGAAATGTCAAGTGTAGCTAAGTTCTTCTCCACCTGGTCTTACCAATGCAGTGGAGGCCTTCCTCTTTATCTGTTGCCAGCATCGCGGCCCGCGCGTTGAATACTTTCAGAGCAGGAGCGTTTCTCTCCATTCGACCGACATGGCCAAGCCAGCAGAGCCGCTGAATTTTAATTCGCCGCACTATGTCCATGTCGTTGTAAAGTTCATACAGCTCATCGTTAAATCGTCTGCGTTGTTCGCCATCGCCAACGTGTAGGGGCCCGTAAATCTTTCGCAGAATATTTCTCTCGAAAACTCCAAGAGGCGCAACAGCACAGGCATCATGAGTGACTTATAGAGTGTGATCTTTGTACGACGAGAGAGGACCTTACTTCTCAACTGCCTACTCAGTCCAAAGTAGCGCTTGTTGGCAAGAGTAATTCTCCCAAATAAACGAAGTCGTCTACTTTCTCAAACTTGTAACTGCCAACAGTGACGTGTGTGCCAAGACGCGTACGTTCTGACTATTTGTGTGATGACAGGAGATACTTCGTTTTGTCCTCGTTCACCATCAGATCCATTGGCTTTGCTTTTCTTTCTAATCCCGAAAAGGCCGAACAGACGTAGCCCTGGTTTTTACCGATAATATCGATGTCGTCGGCATACGCCAGCAATTGTACGCTCTTGTAAAGTATTGTGCCTGAGCGGTTCAGTTCTGCGGGTCTTATTATCTTCTCCAACATCAGATTAAAAAAATCACACCTTGTCTGAAACTCCGTTTGGTGTCAAACAGCTCGGAGAGGTCCTTCCCAATTTTGAAAGCGCTGATGTTATTGCTCAACTTCATTTTACATAGTCGTATTAGTTTCGCGGGGATAACAAATTCAGATATCGCGGCTGACGAATGCGGCTTTGAAATCGACAAATAGGTGGTGTGGGTCGATCCCATTCGAGCGGGTCTTTTCCAAGATCAAGCGTATTGTGAATACCTGATCTAAGGTGAAATTTCCAGGCCTAAAGCCAAGGTCCAATTAGTTCGTTGACGGTGGGCTTCAGTCTTTCGCACAATACATTCGATAAGACCTTATAACCTATGCTTAGAGGGCTGATCTCGCGGTAGTTGGCGCGTATGGCGGCGTCGCCTTTGTTGTGCATTGGGCAGAGCACATTTAAAGACATGCCTTCCGTCTATCACAACATCGATTTGGTTTCTTGTTTTTCGATCTGGAGACAGCCATGTATGTATGTAGCTTGATGGATTTTTTTTGTATGCTTGAACTTAGTACTGCATATCACCATGTTTCGGGCCCCGGCGAAGGCGATAAGCCTCAGTCCGTTGTCGGATATAGTATTGTATTATTCGGGTACTATGTGCTGTTGGAAAAACTATAGTATGCAAAAAAATATTGAATTACCAAATTTCCCATTTTCCATGTCTTTTATATAGAAAAAACCAGTTTTCGTAGAAATTGTATCAAATTCTTGAAAATCATTATTTTTCGATCGGAAAACTTTGTTTCTCTTCAACTTTTGCTCTAATTTTTACATAAGCTTAATTTACGTTAAGTTTTTTAAAAAATTAATTGGCGGAATTCCTGGACAATTTTGTGTTTTTTCTTTTGTATATTGCTAATGTAAATTTACTGTAACTAATTGACTTTCAGTTATTTCTCCATTTTGGAATTCCTTTATTAGTCACCACATTCACTTTTCCCAAACTCACCAAATCACATCGAATTATTAAAACTAAGAGTTAACGCGTTCTTGTGCAAATGCTGATTCCAAAAGCAATTGCTTACATTATTATTTTAGTTAATTTTAAGCATAAGAGGCTGTTGTATCATGTTATTATGCATAAGCGCAAGCTTTAATAAATATTACAATACATATTTGGTAAGAAAGCAATGCCTACAAATTTGGTTGTTAACTGCACCAATTGCTTTGCGGCATTTTTTCAGAAGCACCGCCCAAAGTGTTGAAGAAACGCATGCAGCTGAATTCGATTTTGAAATTTCTTCTATAAACTATCCTATTTAGTACATGCATATGTAAATATTCTTACCATTAAAATTTAGTTATGCAATTACATAGTTATATTATATTACATATCTGAAAAAAAAAAAATTGTTTCTTGAATTATTCACTTTTAAAACTTGCCGTTCATAAGCTACATATAATAAAAATCAATTTCCGTAGACATTTCTGAGCATAAAAATACTTGGGGAAAATGTGTACAAACATATGTGTGTTTTAAATTGGAAAGGCATATGTACATACATTTTATATATGTAAATACCCTGCAAACCATTCTTTCAGAGTATTCTGCATTGTAAAGAAATTTTAAAGAATTCGTTAAGATTTAATTCGATTTTTTGCGGAATTTTCTAAAATGAAATAAATTACGCACACTTCCATTCTTTTACGAAATTTCGGAAGAAAATCTGTGAAGCAACGACAATAATGCTGCTATGTGAAGAATATCTTTCAGAATTTTTCCAGAATTTTCTTTATTTTTCATACAGAAATTTCTTTACGAGTTCGTGTCAACGACTTCATATAATTTTCTTTGAAAATTCGTAAAAAAATCGTTACAGAAATGAGATAATCCTAACGATATCCTTAAGATTTCGGGAACTTTGGTTTGCAGGGTATTGACAATTTTAAGGAATTTTTATATATTTTCATACTCTATGTAGGCAAGTGGAAAATGATAACACATTTTTTTTGTACATATGTAGTTATGTATGTATGTATGTTAGACTGTATCACTCCCCATACAAAAAAATCAGTACTGTATTTCCATTGGAATTATAAAATCTATTACAT